CTTGCACTGAGCCAAACAACACTTTTCTCGTTTGCTCAAGGATTTGAAACAAGACTCATTTCCTCAGTTCTACTAAATCTTCATGAGCTGTCTGTTCTTTTGCTTCTCATACTGTCATTTCATACTTGGCTTCCTTCTACGTAATAAATTATATACTATATATTCTTTTGCTGTATTCATTTCGCTTTCTCTGCATTTTAGGACACAAAGGAGATTCAACACTATTTCAGAAGAATCAACTGCTCACTGTCCACTGTCTGTTTTGTACCCTGATGTTACATGTAAAAAAACTACTTTGAAAGTAATGCTTCCTATTTATATCTGTTGCATTTTCCATGGCAATAAATAGGAGGCATTACTTTCAGAGCAATCTATGTCCACTGTTGATAATCCTTACATACGTGTGAAATCCCTATGAGCGATGAACAACAGTACGTTGTCACCTGTCAACTCAAAGTCAGTGTCATGAAAAACATGCACAAAACTGTTTCTATCACCATACCAAAGGATTTCTCTGCCTTCATTGAAATATCTTCATCATGCATCACAATGTCCTTACCAGTATATTGCAAATTTCATCTTACGATGAAAAAGGTAACAGTTGTGCTTTTGGATTACATTATTAGTATAATAAAACTGGGTATTTTTCAATCAAAATGCTACAATTGGAATTTGAAACGTGGTAACAAATTTAAAGACCTCAATTCGTAATTAGATGCACAATTTAAGATGCTGGATTTTAAAGACATGAAATACCATCAGAGCATGTGCAACATTAATCTGAATGACAAAACTATGAAAATACTCAGGATACTACTGGAGACTAAACAAGATGCTTCCCTCCCAGAGTGTGACCCTTTCCATCTGAAATACAAATACAAAGCATCAAAGTGTCCCATAGCCCCTTTCCAGAAAATATGTCATTAAGGAGGGGCTTTCAAAGGCTCTTCTTGCCAATCGTGAATGGTGCTCATACTTTTCAGGCTTTCATGGCTTATATTTTATACAGAATATGAAAAAAAAAAAAAAAAAAAAAAAAAAAGTGTAGAAGGAGACAAAACTTTTTACATTTTACATTTCAAGTGAAATATTTAAAAATCATACAGAAAGAACTGGTAAAACACAGTACTCGTCACTTCAGCAAATTCAGTTTGATACAATCACCACTCAGAATTCATCTCATTTATAAAGCATACCTATACTGTCGAGCCTAGAGTCTCACTTCAACCCAGCCGCTTTCCTGGCTAAAAAGGAAAAAACAAACAAATAACAACTAATTCCGACCATCTGATCCCTAGAAAGTCCTCCAGGACAGAAAGGCCTGAACAAACATCCATTTTAGAGAAAAAAAAAAATTAAGAATCTTTAACATTGCTGAAAATTTGGCAACTAAGGGTTATGGATGAAGATTAATTTGTAATCCTTCCTTTGACTATATACAGCTATGAACAGTTATATCCTGCTTTTTAGAAGTGACTACCACGTTACTACCAAAGAGGCTGGGAATACTGCTTGCATATTGCAGAATTTTTCTTGGAGTTTATATCACGATTTAAAAAGATGACTCAGGGGAAAAAAAAGTACATTTTTGCAAAAATTACACTTGGTGAAATCAATAGCAATTATTACATCCAAAATATGTTATGTTTATATTAAAGGCAGTTTTAATTTGAGTCATTTACTGCTAATATTCTCCTCGGTGACAGCACCCAAGTTTCTATTCAAAATTACATGGACTCTCTGAGTTACCATAGAATGCTTTTTATTTTAATGCTACAATAACACAGATAATAGTTATCTTAGCAGAAAGATAAAGAGATTACTGAATTCTAGACCTTACATGGAAACAAATTTCTTATTTTAAACTATGTCACACTTGCTCGCCAGAAAGAGTGATTATAATCTGCAAGGGAAAAAAAAAAGGCAAAGCCCTCAAGAAGCAGGCCTTTCATAACTTCACCATTTTTCACAGGCAAGTATAATTACAGTTTTGCATAACCATCTAATGAGAGGAAGTCCTTTCTTGCAGTGTTAATAAAGGACCTCGCATAACATGTTAACAAAGCAATGGCGCTCAGTGTAGGTAATGTCACTGTGTAATTAGCATGCTCATAAGATGACTTAAGATTACGGTTTATCTGAATCTAATAACTGCCTATCAGCAGCTTTACCACTCTGTCTTTTTCAATACATCTTTCCTCGTGAATGGTTTGATATCCACCTTCTCAGAACAGAGTTGCAGAGGGAATAGCATGTCACTAACAGAAGTGAAATAAAAACACAGTTTGAAAGCAATTAAATGAATAAACATTTAACTTAAAAACAGCTTTTTCTTATACCTGGGCATTTATGTTGGGATACAGTATTATAAATATCAGTATTTGCAACTAATTTCCACATTCCACCTTGCACAATACTAAAAAAAAAAACAAACACAAGAAATGCCACTGGAAATTATTCTGGCTCCTTAATAAACAATGCTTCTCTAAGCCACCGAAGGACTTTTTTCAACAAAAATCTACCTGCACTTGGAACCCTCACATTCAATATTTACCAGTAGCCAATACTAAGTGCCTCACCCCTGTTTCTGGAGACAGGCTTGCAGAAGCAGAAAGTGATCTGATGGCACAGCTGGACCAGAGGCACTTTTCCAGCTCCCAGTTCTGCAGTGCAGGCCTCAAAGCCAGAATCAATAAATAGCCAGATGCAGTGCAAGAAGTTGATTCAGAACAACGTAATGTTATCCATGCGTCCCCATACATAGATTCCTTCCCTATAGCTTTTTTCCTCAGCACATTCAAGAAAGCAAGCAAATAAAATGACAAGGTTGGGGATGAAAGACAGTGGTTAAGTTGGGCTTGGCATATGGCTTACAACATACACAATGCCAATCCGGCAGGGTGATAAGTCAGAGTTTTAGGGATCAGGAATGTTAGCAGAACAGGGAGAACATTTATTAACATAAAGTGAGCACGATGCATTTCCCTGCTTAGAAGCATTATAAAAGAATAAGAAATAGAAGCCTTTTCCTTTCTTAAAAAAAAAATAAATAAATAAAAAAAATCATCTCCCTGAAGTAGTAACTGTAAAACAAATTAAGACATTTCCAAGTATTTGCTAACCTACTTACAGGCATCATTGCTCCCTTGGGCCTTTGTAGCCTTACACCTTCCTTAACGGACTAGCTGAATAGGTAAATGGGTTATATCAGGCCAGGAAATCAATGTGTATACTGTGTTCTCAGCCACAGATGAGCTTGTCGAAGCCATTTTATTATAGCTCTAGGAGCCGTATTGATCTGACTGTTAACTACTCTGAGGTGGCTAGCAATCCAATGAAGATGCGTTCTGCCGTCCATCCAAATGCTTTCTCCCCTCAATAGTTCTAACAGAGTTAAGTGTTTGCAGATTGAATTAATTTAATGTTTGCTTAATCAGAACTGACTATGCTAGAGCCTAAATTCTATTAATTACTAAAGGAATCACACTTATGTCGTAACATGACGTTAGGCTGGAAAGGGCCTTATTTTACTATTATAAGAGGGAATAAGGGTTGTGGGCAGAGTGAACAGATAAGTCAGCTTTTATTTCACAAACATATGTAGTTTTTTATTTTACATTCTCCAAACAGAAAGAGTTCCAATCTTTTTTTTTTTTCCTCCTTAAAGTGGCTCATGATGGTTATGGTTGATCAGTAGAATTTCCATTCACTGAATTGATAAGCAAAGAAATTTAACAATATACTTGATAATGAGGAAGAAAAAAGTTGAAATCTCACTCAAGTTTATTTCTGCTAGTACCTAAAGGCCTTCTGTTGAATAGAACCAGATGCTTCTTTTTAATTTCTATCTTATTTCTGTTTAGTCCTACGGTTTACATAGTTCATTTCTAGAATAAAGTTAGAGATGCTTTTTCACTTTATCATATGAAAAAAAGATCCCCACATTTTCCATACAGAAAAGCAATGATCTACAAGTGAAGCAAGCACTGCTTTATGTTGATGTAACTAAAATATGAAGATTTCCACCAATGTTGTTTAAGCAGTGGCTTCATTGAAAATAGAGAACAGGTAAAGTTTCCAGGCAGCTTTTCCCTGTGTTAAGCAAAACAGATACAGGCAAAAGGGCAAGCATACAGTGCTTTTTGTGTGTGCATTCCAAGATCTATCACATCCTGAGTCCTACAGAGAGCAGGTCTCCAAATGCAGCTTTTTTTTTCCCCCTCCCTAAGTAGAATGGCTCTTAATTTACCATTTTTGGATGACGCACACTTAAATTATTTTTGTCTTTGTTTGCAAAACCAAGTGAATTTGCCTTTTTCTTCTTGAAACAGCCTATAGATGAAAAGAGAACGTTTTGTCTGGAAACAAAATACCGTTGATTTGATTAATATAGCCGTATGCTTACAAAGCACACACTGAGCGTTAAATAACAAACGGTAGCCAACTGCACAGATTAGCTACATACAAAACACATGTCCTGGAACAATGATTTTATTTCAAACAGAGGAACAGTCTGTGCTCTTTTCTTACACCCCAATTAACCATTTCAGTTGCACTCTAAAATATATTTCTGATATCTACCTTAACTATACGTGTAAAAAAGGTGTTTCCCTCATGTGCCTATAGATTACATGAAAATACTTGTGACAAAAATCTCTCCTGCCTACCCCTCATGGTCCTCACTATATTGTACTGTATTTATTACAAAATGAATGGGTGTTTCAAAGCCACATTTTAATCTGAGCAGAGAAGTTACTTGCAATGGTCTTTTTCCAGCAAGTTCTATCAAAAGCTAGAAATATGACACCAGGAGACACTGTTCAGTAGGTAATAAGAGTGAATCAAGCCCTCTTAGTTATGTATCAGGAGCCTACACTGAGTCTTCAAAACTGAGTTTAAAAAAAAAAAAAAAAAAAAGGGTAAGAATTAAGCAATTAATACATTTCAGCCAAAGCAACCAACCTTGGGAAAAAATAAAAATTTAGATTTAGATCTGTTACCTTATAGCAATGATCTTGAGCGGAAAGCATCAAAAGTCCTCTCGTGTGTTTAAATTATTATTGTCTTTGCAAAACCAAGTGAGTTTGCCTTAAAAAAAAAAAAAAAAAAAAAAAAAACCAAAAACACCTACATAGCTACTAGTGTAGTGTATTAATCCAAAGAAAAAACCTGCAGACAAAAAGCAAGAGCAGATCCCAGACAAATACTAGCATTCCATGACCTAACAGAACATAAAGGGACAAGGGATGCAAAAAGCAAAGTTCGACAGTCAACATCCATTTCTGAAGGAGAGTCAAAGTATTTCCTGTGAATTCTTAAATGAATTTTCTTTTTTTTTACTCCTATTGAAAGTCTAGGATATGTCACTGGAAAAAAGTTTTGCTGAAAATATTTTCCTACAGTTATTATTTTTCCCACTGTATTTTAGAAGAAATGAACCACGAATCCAGAACTGCACAGATTCTACACTTCTGGATAAGACACTCTACGAGCTAACTGCATTAACACAAAGTATACAGAGAATCAACTTTATGTCTTATTATAGAAGGATATCCTTGGAGCTGAAGAATATTTTTCAGTATCTAATCTATATTACAATTTGCAAACTAGAAAAATTCAACACACAGTCACAGACTGTACCAAAAAGAGACTGTAAAAAAAAAAAAAGGCTGCACTATCCAAGAACTATGAAAAATAATTTCCTGAATGCGTCTCTTCCATCCTCTATAAAGGTCCATTGTATTTTTAAAACATAGCTTCTCACCTCTGTACTGTGCCAGTTACTAAGAGCGCTGATAGGGGCAGCAGAACGGTCCTTCAAGAACCAATGCAATCCTTTTCATCCTAAAATTACCTTGCCAGATGGCATATCTGTAGAGGAGAGGTGAGCAAAGCCTGAGGATGTTGCAGGAATAATGACTGATGATTTAAAGTGCTAAAAATACTAAAATACATTTAGTGGTTACTGTAAGCATTTTTATTGCAGTTAAATTCCAGCTCACGCATTTGTTTAACGCAAACCAAAATTTTCATTTTACTTCTCAGATAAGGATATTCTTTTTGCTAAATGATCATTCTCCAGTGAAGTGTAATGCTTGAAATCTGCATTCCATGTTAGAGGTGGCTGATCTACACAGGGAGCAGTGATATCCAGTATAATGAAATATTGTTTTTGCAAGCCATACCTTTGAAGAGCACCAAGATCATCCTGGGTTAAAACACCAATAAAATGAAAAATCCTCATTACAATTGATTCAAACATGTCAAAATGCATTTTACTTTAATCAGGCTACCCTGCCCTCCACTTTTCAAACATTTCTAAAACATAAATTATATCTTACATTACAGAAAGAAACAAAACTGGCTGCTTTAAACCATAATCATTGCAAATTGCAGCATTGACATCTCCAAATTAAAATTGCACGAGAAATCACATTTAGGTTGTTTCAACCACTATCTACAGTCATTTGACATATTATAGGATCAGAATAATTTTAAGATGAATATAATATTCTTCTCCATGTATTTCATTAGTGAGGATCATTTGGATAAAAACAGAGCTCTATTTTTGAAGTCCACTGACTTGCCAGAGATAACTGTTAAGAGTTCAGTGTTTGCAGTATAACAACCCATGAATGACAGTGCTCTCTCCTATTTCTCAAGAGTACAGCTTTGTCATCTACCACTGTGATCCCAACAAAGAAAAATCCAGATGTCTGCAAATTAAAGGAGAGCAGGATGACATTCTGCTGTTAATGCTCAGCATACATAAATCATTGTAATAAGAGAAGATTGTTATATTAACCTTTGTCATGCAATTTTCTTTTTCTCTGTAAGAAATAGGAAAAACAACAAATTAGGTAGCAAATTCATCCTATTTTAAAGCAGAATGGCATAGGGAACTTTTATTCCTTTGCCAGCCACATGATTTCCACTTATTTGGAATTTTATGTGCATCCTGTAAGAAGTTAATAAGATACACACATACTACATTTCAGCTGGTATACTGCCAGATAGAAAGACAGAAAGCATATTTCTAAAGAAATCATAATTTTAGCAAAATAGATACGGGAAAACAGCAAAACATGGAATTTAACCTTCACCCTATCAAAAATCCATCTTACAGTCATGTTCTTTCCCTGTTATCATGTGGAAAATGGAACATTAAAGTTTCCGTATCTTAAGAATGGATATGCAAGTTCTTTGACTATGCACAATGGACAAGAATACTGTCTCACAAAACAACTATTAGAATTGAGATCTCCAGCCTCAGCAGACCCACAGCAGAGCTAATGCACCACAGAAAACACCTGCTAACACTTCAGTACTGCATACGTCACTGGTGTATATAGTGACTACGCACAGTGCTACAAGATCAGTGCTGAACATTTACTTTAATGACAAAGACCCACCATACTTCCAAAATAATTTATTTTGAATTTATTATTGAAGTTTAAACTTTAATTTAAAAATTGAGCATATTGTTTCAAATGTATCTTTCAATACATCTCCTGTTTTTGCTCTACATGGAAGTAGGTCTCACCAAAGGTTCTACATAATGTCTTCCCAATTTTTCACCAGATAGATAGATTGATAGATCAACACATAGATAGACGTGGGGAGACAGGGAAATAGAAGACAGGAGAACTGTTTTTGTTGCAAGTTGCATCTTTTTTTTTTTTTTTTTTTTTTTTTTTTTTTTTTTACAAAGAACTTTTTACAAAGAACATCTTTTTTTACAAAGAACTATTCATATTTTTGACCATTTCTGCAGTAGGCAAGGAGATAATTACTTACATGCAGCACAAAGTGTAATCATTTGAAATAATCTTACATCATTTCAGTACATCCATATTTCATGTTTCAAAATATTTTAGCCAAAAATATGAAAAAATCCACATAGTCTAATCCTCGCAGCACAGTAATAAGTAAAACCAATACATTCCCAACAACCAATCATTAAGGCAAAGAATTACTCCAATTTAGTCTGTGTTCCCTTTGGTTTGCCTTAATCCCAGATTTTTATTTTTATTTATTTTACTATTTCCACTGTATATCTAACTTTCCTTCCATCCCTCATGAAACCATCTCAGATGCACCCCTGTACACAGCAAACATGAATGTAAGTGAACTTACTAAAATATACATTCTCACTTATTTACGTTCAATTTCAAAATACTTGCTTTGATTTCTAGCAGTAAGTGAACAATGAGCAAAAAAAAGCACTGATTCTTTTGAACTAGCCAGTAATAAGACTTAAGAAGTTTGCTCACAACATTTTCAGAAGACAATGGCAGCTGGCATTTCTTTCATTTAACTAAATTTTGTGATCAATGTAGAATACAATTCTGTCAAAATCAAGGTTATAATTAAAAGACTTTGAAATTAATAAAAGGTAAGATTATTTTAAACATGCTTAATTCTCAAGAATATGAAAACCTTTAAAATACAGTCATGTGGAAAAATAACCAATCATAACTAGCAGATGTGCACAATCCTGCATGAGCTACAATAAGAAATAAAAATGGATTAAAACTTGGCACCTGATCAGTTGATAGCTAAAGCCATGGAAAACACACTGCCTGGAACTCTCTTCACCTCATTTTTGCCTCTCTGAGAAAGTGAGGTGTATTAATGTAATTTCAGAAAACTAGACATAGTTGCTGCTTTCGGTATGTTTGGAACAAGTTGCATATTCCCAAGAGAACAGGGCCATTAGTTACCAGGCTGCCAACACATTCCAATTTAGAAAGGATGCAAAGAAGTATTACACGTATATTCCTATGATGCATGTGTTGAAGGAATGCTTAATACCACTGAAACAGTATTTGTTACCCTTCCCATGAAATCACCAGTTCCTAAAGTATGTCTCCAACTTCACACATGAAAACCTTCACTGATGTCCATATTCACATGGCTAATCAAATAGCAGCTCAAGCAGCAGCCTATGTCCAAAGCCTTGCGAGAATTATGATTTAACCATGACAACAGACCACTTTGATCCACTCCATTATCTTCAAATTGATCTGAATTTGAGAATTGACAAAAATCTATGAGTATTACTTCATTGAAGAGGTGGTATATATTTAAGATCCCACTAAACACAACGAAATACAGATTTTTTAAAAAACATCAGTACTGCTATGGAATACTAATATTTGTAAGTTTACCTTGATAGGCACTTTCCATATGGATGGTAATTTGGTGGACAGCTGCAGTATAACAGGAGTCAGTGACAGTGTGTAAGCATTTAATTCTGGCTTCAACTTTACATAAAGATAATGTAGACACATGAGGTATGTCTGCTAAAATGAACTAGATTTAGTCTTTACTTTCTTCTTCCTGTTCCTTTGTTACAAAGGCAATACAGTTTAGTGCATGCCTTCAAAATTCCTGATATATTTTCTCATTAAATACATATTTCTTAAAAGGAAAAATTGCAGGATTTTTTCCAGTTATCTCTGAAAGACATTAACGTATATGGTTTTCTTAGAAAGCAAAGCTTGAATGAAATAAGATATATATCAAAAATATATTCTTCTTGTGTGACCTTCCAATATTCCAAACTCTTGCTGCAGTCGGGAAAGGCAACATCAATGAAACCCACCCCTAAACTGTCCCACAGAGGTCAAAAGGGGAAACAGCAGTTGTGCATCAATTCTTCCTCCGCAGTTTGCACAATCTATAGAAAACTTGGGGCAGTCACCGTTGTTGAGATAATTAATGTCACTTTTACTGAGTTTCACTTGCCAGGCTTGATTGGTGGTATTAAGCTTGGGTTTATTGAAGCTACTCTACTTTTTATCCTCATCTTCCCATTCCCCATCCCAGTTTTACATCTGCACACGTTCACATATTTATATCCACTCAACCTCTGGAGAACCAAGGATGCATTCACTTATAAGATCAATTTGCACACCATTAACTTTCAGCATGCAATTTGACCAGAACAAAAAGCAGATCTTAATTTTGAGCTCATAGTCATCAGCCATCTCAATGACTTGGAAGTTCCCAGCATCTCAGCAGATGTTCCCATGTTCTTGCAAACTTGAGGAGTAAAACAGACTTCAATCAAGGAATAACACTGAATCTCAGCAAAAAGTTGATTGACTAAGAACTACATTTTTCTGCTGCACTTTTTTTTATTACTGTTTAGAAGTAATTGATAAAATTCAGTTTTCACTTCACAATAATGTTCCTTGTTAACTCAGAGAAGCCCTAAGCTGTGCACACAATCACATAGACAAGTCTGGCACATGTCCTCAACTGTGTTTGCCAGACTGATCTTACAAAACTACAAGCAGAGAACAAAAACTCTGATGAGAAGGAAAACAATCATTACAACCCCTACCAACAAACGTTTATAACATAACATTTCTATCATTTTTCATCACTGCAATCCATTTACAAAGAAAATCTTTCCATTCTAAAGGCATCTGACTCTGGCTGGAGATATTTTTCCTGGAATATATAAGATAGTCTACCACTATTATCTTCATCACTTCAAAACGCTATTCTTTTATCCACTTCCGTCATGTGTGTTCTTTTTTTCTTTGTAATAAATTTACAAGCAACAAAACAGAGTAGAAAAGGTGTTTTAAAACAGAGACGTGAAGGTAAGCAAAGCATAAAACTCCATTACATTCTACTATAGCTACGTTGCTTGGTGATTTCAAACTTACTGCAAAGCACAGAGCAGAGAAAGTCAATAGAATTGCAGTTGTTTCTATTAATTCAAAACAATAATTAATCCGTCTGACCCTATTTATTATTGTCCAGCTACTCAGAACCACTCCTTTTGTAAGTTTTACAACACAAATTTCTGCACAATTTCCAGTGTGATAGGTAAAGAACTACCTATTCATGCTTTA